TATCTTTTCTAAGTTATTTTTAAGTTATTGTTACATTATGTTATGTAAGTTAAGTTTTAGTATCATTTCCCTTCTCCCTCTCCCTCCACCAGTTTACACCTCCACTGTCGTCTATCCTCAAAAGTAAGGTGCAAGTAAAACTACATTTTTTTAATCAATTATTATTCTATTATGGTTATTTATACATTTACAACTACAAAATGCATTTTTCAGTGTTTTCCTTACTATAGTTATTATTATTTTTTTAATATACTACTTAGCTTTAATTTGAGTGTGTTTTTCATGTTGGAACGAATTATTTGGTTTTACATGTAATCGTATGGGAAAAAATGATTCACCTTACGACATTTTCATGATACGATCTCAGTTTCAGAACGGATTAATTTCATATTCTGAGGTACCACTGTAACAGGATCTACCAAGCATAATATGTTGAATGTAATTTTCAATATTTTCTTTGCTTTTTTGTGAATTCCTGCTGTTGACTTGCTAAAAAAATTTATTGAAAATTTTTTAAAATTATGAACTGCAAGGTTTGACATTATGACTTTTAAGACTTTGTAAGATTATTTTAGTTTTATTTGATTATTAATAACTACCCAAAAACATTTATAAATAACTTTGTCATTTAAGAACTGTATTGGAACAATTTCTTCATAGTTCTATCACTGAAAAAAAGCAGTTAGCATCAAATGTATCAGAAAATGTATGAACAGAATTAGTTCATTTAGAAAATATGACAGATGTTCAATAATTATTAACAGAAAAAGAAGCTGGTGAAGTGGAATCAGTTAAAATAACAATACCAAATCAATTCAGAGGATGATAATGCAAATGAAAATTCTGAAGTTCCAAATTTTGCATTAAAAAGCATATGTATAGTCATAAATTTGACCAAGCATTTATAGTTTTATTTTTGAACATAAATCCTTTCATTGGAAAAAAAATTAACTCCATATCATGAAATTTACAAAGATCTATCAATTAAAAGCAAACTTGCCTGTTATGTTCCAATCTCATTTAAATATAAAAAATTTTGTTTGATTTGAATATAAAATGAATCAGCCTGAAGAGATAGTCATAAATTATTGAAAGTACTTGCAAAGTTTAAATAAAGCATTGATTTTAACACAAGACAGTGTATGTTATTTTTATTGTTATTTTAAACTTAAATGCTGCAGATGAAAGTTCAGAAAGATATTCTACAATAGAGAAAGCATTCTTATTTAAGTGTGCTTAGCAATAATAAAAAAAAAATCAAATGAATACATGTTACCTGATATATGTAATATAGTATATAAGACATTCATTTAGTTATTTCTAATTTTTAGTAAATATTAATTTTCCAATAGTTACAAAAATAAAATGATATATTTTTGTTAGCTTTGGAATGTAACTTCCCATTTTTGTGCTAGTTCTTAGTCTCAAATAACACAGTTTTGCACTACAGTGGTACCTCGTACTTCAAACGACTCTAACTTCAAATGCTTCAGAGTTCGAATACAAAATTTGACAAAAATTTGCATTGGGATTCAAATTATGCTTCAAAGTTTGAAATGCATATGCAGTGAAAAAAATGTGCTCAAAGCATAAAAGCAATCTGTTATGTTTTCAAGTTGACTCTTGCTCTCATTCTTGTGTTATGCCTGTATGTTTTCAGTGGTTTTTTCACTTTATTTTTGGTGTGTTTGGTTATATATACTGTATTGCATGTTATTCGTCAATTTTTAACAATTTCTTCCTGCAATTTTTCTTTGTCAACATGTTTTGTATCCTTTAATTCAAAATTTTCCAAATGGAATTTTTTAAACCATATTTGACTTGTTTGAAGTTTAGCATCTTCCTCATACACATTACAATTTTTTTTTTTTTTTTGACTGTATGATGTTATATCCTTTTTGAAACTCATAAAGCATAATATGCTTGATATGCTTTTTATCTGATGACATTATTTCATGTCTTGTTTGAATAAAATCAAGTTGTAAAGAGTTTAAAGTAAGATTCTAAACAAATAAAATCTTACATTATCTATATTTTAAATTTTACACTACAATTAATTACTATTACAATTACAATTAATCACACATCTAGGAAGATGAATCATGGTGTGTGACCAAGAAATGCAATTTTCATTTTGTGATTTGTGTTATACAGTATTTGTGTATTTTATTTATTGCTTTTGTGTTTTAATTTATTATCAAGGCATTTAAATGTGTTATTTTTACATTAAATTATAATCATTTGCTGTTTTAAGTTTATTGAAATGGATATTATTAATTTGCTTTCCATTATTTCTAATGGGAAAAACTGATTTTGACTTCAAATGATTTAGAGTTCAGATGACCCTTGAATGAATTAAATTTGATGTATGAGGCACCACTGTGTGAAATTCTATAGGAATGTATTTAGTAACTTTATATATAGTGTTATATGAGAGTTACTGGTATTATATATAAACAAAAATCTTTTCATTTGTTATTTTTGAATAAAATTTGAATATAGCTTTTTCAAAAAGAAAGGAAAAAAAAAAAAAAAAGGAAAAATTGATTTCTTCAAATATTTTATAAAATTAATACTGAGAAATTATATTTTATCTTATGTTCAAATAAATGACATCATTATTAGCATAGAGAGAAAACTCAATCAATTTTAATATTTAATAAATTTTTAAAATTTATTTTTTAAGAATTTCAATTTTAGTTTAAATTTCTAAATATTTTGCTGCATCTAATAAATAAAAATCCGTGTATTTAAATTTCTTTATTTGAACAAGTTGTTAAACATGTTTAAATAATAATATTTATTGAAAAAATATTAATAGAAATTCATACTTCTAACCTCATATCTGTCTTTTTCTTCTCTATCTAAAATCTTTTTTGTTCTTAATTCACCAGTAATAGGATTTAAATGAAATTCTGAAGTTTCCTCCATATTCTTGTCATTAACTTTTAAATGATATAATATTCTTCCATTTTCTCCTTTATCGTTATCAATAGCTTTTACAATCATTATTAAAAAGTTTGGAATACTTTGATTCTGAAAAATATTTAAATATATTGTAAATATCATTAACTGAATATACACTCAGTAAAAAGAATAATTACTAAGATCATCATTAAACATTTTTGGTTGTTGAGACACATGTGTCTCAGAAGCCAAAGGTATTTAGTGATGATTTTAGTAAATATCAATTTTAAGAAATATATAATATAATGTAATATTAATATAAATAAATATAATATAATTTTAAAATTCAAAGTTTGAAAACTATACTGATATTAATAGCATTAAATGTCTTTTATTAAGCAAAACAAAAAAATATATTCTAATTTCCAGCATACAACCTGCAGAAAATTAAACATTGCATGACTACATTGTGATATATTCTATACCTACAAAATACTGTTAAAAACATGTCACTTAATCCATATGCAGTTTAGAAACTATTGCTTCAAAAATTTCAGTTTTCCTCATTTTATTTAAATTCTTGTTACAAAGTAATTATAAATGTAATTATAAAATAAGTGAAACAAATGGAATATTTGAGACAGAATCATCCAAACTGCATTAAGTATCAAAAGGAAAAATAATAATTATACCTATTCAACCAGAGATGACCTAGTAAACTGTAATCATCAGGCCATCCAATAGTATCTAAAATTCTGTTTCATTCATACAATTATTGTTTAGAAAATATAAATGAAAATTTATTCAATTATTATATTTAAGCTTTAAAGTTATTTAATATTACAGTATTTTAAATTGGCATTTTCCCATGAATCCTCCATTCTTTTATATATCTAAGATCTTCATTTTCTCTTATATTCCATGTGAATAAGACAGCAGACAATTAAGATAAATATGATGGCTCTATTCTGAACACAACCTGTCATTACAACTTTGCATTGTCATTCTTTTACTGATACAATATATGTATGCATTATGAATAGTACTGTACTACGAGAAACTAGCATTTTATTTGGAAGAATGTTTCCATAAAATATCACCAATAAGTGCATAATTTTCATGAGTTTTAAAAAATGCTGTTTCAATTACTTTCTGTTATTTTCTGTAAATAAAAATATTCTGTTTTCTCTAGTGTCGTGGTATCTAAATTAATAAAAAATAAGCTACCCAACTATTGTTTAAATCTATTTGCTATGAATATGCTCAAGTCTGGTGCTAATTGCAAAATTGCATTTTATGAAATATCTCATATATGGCATCCAATAAGATTTCTACTAACAATGATTTAACTTCCATTTGGCAATCACTTTGTTAATAATATCATAATGTAATAATTCATAAACATAACAATTATGTTCAAATATTTCATTCTTTTATTTCAGATTTAATTACTGTTTTTTGATACTAGCCACTGCAATCAACTTAATAAAGCAAACAATGCAATTTTAAGAGTAAATAACAGTTTAAAAAATGCAAATGTTCTTTTTTGGAGCAGGGTTTATAAAATTATACTCCCTGTAATTTTTTATTATAATTTTAAAAAAATGTGTTCCAATTCAAAGCAAATATTATTTTTATTTTTGTTTTTCAAAATTTTCCTCAAAGAAATTTATATCAATTAAACTTAAATTTTTAAAAATCTAATTTTGAAGATGATTATTTTTTATATTAATTCCTTATTGACAAATTTGTTCTCTATTTTTGACAGAATTGTAATAAATGGACTCAATGGCAGAGAAATAAATCTAGTTTAAGACATAATATGAACCAATATTAACTAATCAGATATGAATAATTTTTAATATTTAATGTATTAAACATATAATTAATGCTTATGTAGTAGTATATTCTTTTACCTCAGGTATTTCCACTGTAGCATTTAGGAGTGCTGGTACTATAAATTTAGGTTTATCTTGATTCACTTCTACAATTTTTATATAAACAACAGCTTCATCAGCATTTGGTCCTGTACCATTCATGTCACGAGCTTCAACTTTCAATTTATATTGCACTCTGTTATCACGTAATGATTTAGTTGGATAAATAATTCCAGTTTCTGGATCAATACCAAATATTCCTTTAAAAGAAATATATGTAATAGATAAATAATATAAATTCTGACAAATAATAAAAAAATTCATACTTTATACAAAACAGGAACATAAATTATGAGGGACATCCAGAAAATAAAGAACATTTGGATATAAAATAGAAAAAACACAGTAATGATAGGGAAAAAGTTTTATTAAGTAATTAGTACAAGACCAATTACTTTTCTACATATTTTCACTATTACAATTAAAGCACTTGTCATAGCATGACACTAGTTTTCAAACTCCTTTGTAATAGACTTCTGCTGTCTGTTCCTTCAGTCAGTTAATGACAGCTTTCAGCTTGGGAAAGAGGCGACAGTCACTGAGGCCAGGGCCAGATTGCGACTGAATGGTGGATGTTCAAAAACATCCCAGCCAAATTTCTGAAGCACAGCTTGAGTGGCTGCAGTAGAGTTTGTTTGTGTGTTATCTTCCTCAATTAAACATTAAACACCATTTTCTCACACTTGCTTTGTTCATAATGTGATCACCATACACTTTCATTTGTTTATGAATTTCTATAGGACAATTTTTTTTCATGTTTAGAAAACTAATAACAATTGTGTACAAATGTGTGCAAAAATTGAAAATCCTGCCAAATGCAAGAGTTATTTGTTCATTTACAAAATGAATAATACTTTGCACTTTTCAGGATTTTCGATTTTTGTACACATTTTAACCCTTGACAAAACAGTAACAATAAGCCTGCCATTATCACTCTACACACATCAGAGAACAAATTGATTTTGAGTCAATGGTTGTAATTTACCTGCACAGAGTGCTATGTGAAAACATACTTTGTTTTCTGGACACCCTAGTATATATATATATATAATAGCTCTAATGATAACTTGATATAGATTTGGAGATGTCAAAAATTCTATATATTTTGCTAGCAATGAATTCTACAACGAACTAGATAAACACCATTTCAATTATGATTGTGTAGATAAAGTCTGACCTCATATTGAATTTCTGAATTTATGTTTTCAAACTGCAAGTTCAATATTGAAAAGCAGTTAGATGAAGAAAAAGGAAATGAAAGAGCTAACAGTTTATAATTTAAAAATAATATAACTACAGCTTAATATAAAATAATTGCAACAAAATGTATAAATATAATTATATTCATTAAAGCTTTCTACATAACAAAGATGTTTGAAAAAGAATCAATGCAAAACATTTGCAAAGAAATAATTTTTACAGTTGAAATGATATATGTAAAAATCTGCAATTTTCATTTATGTTTTATTATGAGCAAAAACAGTGTTGCAGAATTTTATTAAAATTAGTTTTCTTCTTTCAAAAAATTTCAAGTAATATCAATTAAAACAGTTTAGATGTTTTAATTGTACAAGTTAGTATATATCAATGTACTATTTTGTAAAATTTTAAAACATATGTAAATCAAACACAGAATCAAACAATAAAAAACTTTTGTTGTTTGTGAATTCTGATGATGGAATTTATGTCTGAAAAACATTTAAATCCTGAATAAAAGAAGATAAAAGAAGTGGATTCCTTATCTGTTCTAGTGTATAGTTTCTTCATTAATCTTAAATTGTAAATAAAAGAAATTATTTTTAAAATCTTTCTAAAAGTCGATTTTTAGATTAATTAATTTGAACTTTTAAATTAATTTAATATTAATTTAAATGAATAATTATAAGTTTTTAAATTTATTATTTATACATTAATACAAGATTAAAAATTGTACCATCATCATCTCCATCTATTATATCATAATATATAATTGCATTATATCCTTCATCATTGTCAATTGCAGATATCTGTATGACAGGACTTGGAGGATCTAAAGGAATATTTGATACAATTGAAGCTTCATATTCATGATTACTAAATTTTGGGACATCATCATTGACATCTTCTAAAGTAATGTAAAGCTAAAAAATATATAAATTTTTACTGTATTTCATTAATTTTAAAAACATGGTCAACATTCTTTATAAACAATCTTACAGGCACACTTGTAGTTCTTCTAGTGCTAATATCTGAACCTTTATCAGTTGCTTGAATTTGAATAGTAAAACTTGGTGATGATTCTCGATCTAATATGGCACCCTGTGCAACAGAGATCATTCCCTAAATAGGAAAAATTTTACACTTTATTCATAACTAAACATCTAAAATTTTTTTCTAAGTTATTATTTAAAGTGGTTTAATTTAATATATATGTATAAATAAATAAATTTTATGTTAAATTATTATATTATGGAAGACCAACAGAAAGTGCATATTCAATAATACTAATATTTCCTATTTTATTTAATTTATTTACCTCTTGGTCAATTATAAAATTGTTGCTTCGTTCTCCTAATAATGAATATTTAATTTTTCCAAAATCTCCAACATCTAAATCTGTAGCTTTGACATTTATAACAAGAGTTCCAGGTGAAGAATTTTCCATAAGTGTTGCATGATATGATTTCTAGGTTAATTGTAAAATGTTTTAAAATTCACAAAACTTTTCATTTAAATCTCATTAAAGTTATTCTAATATATAAACTTGAAACTTATACAAAAAATGAAATACTATTCAAAAATTGAGACAATAATTTTTATACTTAATATGTATTTTAAAATTAAATAATAATAGAAACTCTAAAATTGTTTATATTAAAATTATTGTTTCAATGATTTCTATAATATAAAAAATTTTAAATATATTGATTTAGCTTAAAATTTAAATCAATATATTGAAGAAAATTAAATCAACAAATTTAAATCAGAGTTCTTTTTAATAACTGCATTATTATAATTTAAGTATCACTGTTTAAAAATTATCTGTAAAACTAATTAATATACATCTATGTCCTTAATTTAATCAAAATTATTCTTTCAATCACTATATCAGTGTATTTCTATTAATAGGACTTATCATACTGGTGTATAAGATTACAGCCTCACAGTTACACAGATTAAAATTGTTTTATTTTACAATTACCTGGTAATTACACAGATTAAAATTGTTTTATTTTACAATTGTAAAATAAAACAATTTTAATCTGTGTAACTGTGAGGCTGTAATCTTATACACCAGTATGATAAGTCCTATTAATAGAAATACACTGATATAGTGATTGAAAGAATAATATCTGTAAAACTTCTTATAAAGACAAATTTTATAATTAAATTTTTTGTGTATATATTTTAAAAATACACAATATAAACTATTAAAAGGGAAGCAAGAATATGAGTTATATAGTTACATTTTTATTTGTTTTAATATTAACTTTAAAATAACTCAAAATAAAATATCCTGTAAGAATATTTCAAATAAAACTGTATTTTTTTTGTATATCTTTAGAGTAGGACTATACAGTTTTTACTGTAAAAATAAATGTACAAATAATTTACAAAAAAAATTGTTCCAACACCCTTTATGTATTTCTTGTTTAATACCAGTATATGTATTACCCCCTGCAACAGGGAATCATTCCTTTTTTGCTAATAAAGATTATGATGATTATTAATTTTTCATCAATTTTTTAACCTTATTTAGATTACAAAATTCCATTTCCAAAATTTTATTGTGAACAGCAATATAAATTCCATTTTATTTTTTAAAAAAATCTTTAAAAATTCTCCATAAAAGCTCAGAAAAATTCATTAGAGTTCGTTTTACAGAGGTTTNCATATGAATCACTAAACCATAAATCAAAAGATCTTGAATTGTCTAGTCTGTGTTTCTGTCAATGCTAACATAATATATACCTGTGAATTATGAACTATTAATAATAAAATAATCGTGTTTGTGTCTGCTATGTTAAATTTATTATTCCTGTTTATGTTCATAGCAGCTCAAATAATTGAAAATGAAATATCATACCAATACAAAAACACTGTCTCAATACATGTTGAAGATTCAATTTAATAAGTCAAATGCTCAAAGCTAGATATACCAATTAGAGAGAGAAAACATGTTATCAATATCTGAAAATAATTTGTTTTTAAAAATTTTTATTTTGTAAAATTCACCCAGATGGTAATATCACATTAACAGATTAAAACTGAAGACAAAGTCTGTTGAAACATCAGATTGGTCAGCATGAAATATACTGTAGATATTACCAGTGCTTCTCTCAATGTACAAAAGTTTAAGCAGCATACAATATGGACCCAAGGCTGTATGGATGGAAAAGCAAGATGATGTCTGTTTGTCTGTGCTCTGATTTTAAAAAAAGTGTTTTTTTTTTAATTGGATATATATTTTTTTAAATTTTAAGGCAATTTTTAAGTTTTTGACAATCAAGTATATAGTGTACTAAAAAATATTGGTTAATTGATTAATGTTAATATTTCTTCTACTTAACTGCCAGAAGTATTATTACTGCTTTCATGATTTCAATAAAATATAACCAAATTTGGTTGTATTCAAATGTTGGGAATTTTTCAGGAAAATTAAAAAGTTTTGTCTGGTTAATGCACGGTGTTTTTATATTGTACAGTTGTAATAAGGATTTCTGTAAATTATAAAGTCTTATAAAGAGATGTATAGTTTCATATTATTGTATCTATGCAGTATAACTTTGTCTATGAAAAAATTACATAATACTCATTAAGGTCAACTATCAGGCAGCATTAACACTTACAAGTAGTCTGATAGCAGTTGACTCTAATGAGAATCTGCTGTACTTATAATTTTCAATAAATTTTTCTGATTAAAGTAAAAGGAAAACAAATTATTATATACATTATTAAGAATAGTTACATAATTACATAATCTAATAAACAGGATTAATTAAAAAGAAATTTTATACCTCTGAAAAAACAGGATCATTATCATTGATATTAATAATATTTGCTGTAATTAGTGCAATTGCAGAAAGTTGTGGTACTCCTGTATCATAGGTTATTACTGTAAATTTAACTTGTGTGATATCTTCATAATCAATTCTACTTTTCACAGAGAGTATACCTAATTCAAATATAAAAAAAGAAATTTTAATATTTCCTAACAGTTATCTAAAAAATTAATATAGTATATATATAATTTTCATAAAATTTAAATTTGATTCTATAATTTACAATTATTTCTAGGATGCAAGAAAGTAAATAAATTAAAAAGAGTTACAAATAGCCATATGAATCACTAAACCATAAATCAAAAGATCTTGAATTGTCTAGTCTGTGTTTCTGTCAATGCTAACATAATATATACCTGTGAATTATGAACTATTAATAATAAAATAATCGTGTTTGTGTCTGCTATGTTAAATTTATTATTCCTGTTTATGTTCATAGCAGCTCAAATAATTGAAAATGAAATATCATACCAATACAAAAACACTGTCTCAATACATGTTGAAGATTCAATTTAATAAGTCAAATGCTCAAAGCTAGATATACCAATTAGAGAGAGAAAACATGTTATCAATATCTGAAAATAATTTGTTTTTAAAAATTTTTATTTTGTAAATTTGATACCTTGTCTTTTGGTATCATGTCTGTATGTCATTTTATTAAGTACAATCTCAGTTTCAATTTAATTATCTATGTTTAAATAGATTTTATTGCTAGCTATTTTAATATAGTAAATTTATTATACATTTGATCTTAAAAACCTTACCAGAAGTTTTATCAATATTAAAATATTTATTTTCTGAAACCAATTCATATCCAGCAATATTAGAATCAGGATCAGTAGCAACCATGGTTGTTACAATACTTCCCACAGGTTGTTCTTCCATGACATTTATTGTTATTTCTGGATGATCTGGTGACCAAGGTTTTGCAAACATTGGTGGAAAATCATTAACATCAATTATTGTCACAACAAGTGTTCCTGGAAATATATTAAATTATACTGATAAAAATGTTTAAATTAATATAAAAACATATATTATATCTACAATCACAACCATTTGTAATAGAAATATTAAGTGTCATTATGTATTCATTAAACTAAAATAATGCAATATTATCTTAAGTATCAAATTGAAAAAACCACTTCTGATATTACAGTCAAGATATCAGGTATAAAAACAAATATATAATAAATAGTTCAAAAACTTTTAATAAAAAATAATTTCTTCAGGAATAAATATAATTGTAAATAGAGCAGCATTCTTACAGAATATAAAAAAATAATTTTCAATATAATTGATGAGAATAACTCTAACATTTACATGCATATAAAACATGAATAATAAAAATATTTATATCATCATTAACAAAGGATGCAGCGAAAAAAATTTAAATGAAATTATTTAATTAGTTATTTATTAAATAAAGTACTCAAGAGAATAGATTCAAGTTACAAAAGATATGTAGTCAATGAAATACAATAACTATCCACAAAAAATCTTTATATATCAGTGTTGTGTTCATTACAATATCTACTAATGCAGGGGTAGCCAACCTTTTCAGAAGGCAAGCCAAATTTCAGAAATAATATTTCCTGCCGGGCCACGCACCTAATTTTTTTATATTTTTTAATTAAAGTAAACAAGCAAGCGTGCTACAGCTTCAACCACATCATCACTTCCCAGTAGGTGAGATTGTGGTCAAACACTTGCCTGGTTTAATGTAAAAAAACACAAAAAATAGGCATATTTATTTTTTTGAAGAAAATAAAACATAACCGAGAATCAAACATATTTATTAGACAATTTAAAAATATTTAAAAGTGAGACATCTGACTTTGTTTTACAGAACTAAGTGCATCAAAATTGATCTCCACTGATGTTGTCGCTACACGCAAACAGTTTTCCAAATGAACATCAGTAATTTGATCTCACTTGTGATTTGATGTACTTCATGCGACTAAAAAGCTGTTCACACGCATAAGTGTTTCCACATAGTGAAACCATCGACAGAGCATGTTTGTAAAACGCAGGATATTCATCCTTGTCCAAATACATTTCATAGAACTCTTCCAAACCAACTTGATGAAATTTCTCCAACGTTTCAGGGTTTACTTACTTATAGAATCAATATGGTAGACAGGCTACTTGGTTAAAGTAGTTTGAACTGTAATTATAAATATGTTACATATGTATTTTAATGTTGATTGCAAAATCACTCCAGATGCATTGGCGATAATAAAATGAAACTACAGAATAACAGGGAATTTTGTCAAGCTGGACTGAAAGTAGTTATGAGTATGAGCCAGATAGCATTGTGAGCTTCCCAAAAACACCGAAGACCACAGAACATATATAGCTGAAGTTGAAGTCTCGTATTAAATTATATCAACACCTAGCGTCGGACAAAAAACTAAGTAACCTTGAGTGTCAAATAGTGGGATATTTGAAATAGCTAAAAATCTATGAATTTTTCCAAAAATGAGCAATATTTCAAATTTCTCTTAGCTATAATTTAAAAATACATGATACGAATAACTCATGATGTAATATTCTTTTGGTGATATGTATAATAAAGTTAACATTTACATTCATTTGACCTAGCTCCATGGGCTGCAACATGACTCCAGGCGGGCCGCATGCGGCCTGCGGGCCTCGTGTTGGCCACCCCTGTACTAACGTTTTCGGCCTCCACTGAGGTCTTCTTTGGGTGCTGACTAAGCGGTGTCTCCCCTTGACTGTTAGAACGATGTTGCCCAAGTTGTAAATATTGCGCATATCACATTTCACTCCTCTGCTTGTCCCTGTTCGAATTCCTCGAATAGGTATCTCCACACCTGCACGATTGTCTCTTTGTCTTTAAAGTTGATACAGGTGCCCCCAACGTTGGCTTTATAGATCTCCCAGGCCTCCTGATGACGGATATGATCAATTCGAAACACCTGTCTGATTGATTTGGTGTTTGGGAAGTCTGCCGGAATTTCAGGGTCGGTAACATATGCCGTCAAGGCAGTGGTATGACTGTTATTTTTAATATCCAATTGTAACTGTTTTTGTGTTGAGTGCATGGTAGAACCAATATAAACTAAGTCTCTTCGGAATCTATTGTCCCTGACAGCAGCCAGCAGTCCATTAATTAAGAACGATAGGCGCACAGTCGTCCGGTTGGTTGAACCAGACGACTGTGCGCCTATCGTTCTTAATTAATGGGCTGCTGGCTGCTGTCAGGGACAATAGATTCCGAAGAGACTTAGTTTATATTGCTTCTACCATGCGCTCAACTCAAAAACGGTTATGCGAGCATCAATCAGATATTAAAAATAACAGGCACACCACCATCTTGATGGTGTACGTTACTGACCCTGAAATTCAGGCAGACTTCCCGAACACCAAATCAATCAGACAGGTGTTTCGAATTGATCACATCTGTCACCTGGAGGCCTGGGAGATCTGTAAAGCCAATGTTGGGGGCATCTATATCAACTTTAAAGACAAAGAGACAATCATGCAGGTGTGGAGATAACTATTCGAGGAATTCGAACAGGGACAAGCAGAGGGATGAAATGTGATACGTGCAACATCATTCTAACAGTCAAGGGGAGACACCGCTTAGTCAGCACCTGAAGAAGACCTCAGTGGAGGCCGAAAACGTTAGTGGATATTGTAACGAACACAACACTGATATATAAAGGTTTTTTGTGTATAGTTATTACTCAACACAGTGTTACAGTTAGAGGACGTTTTGTGAATGAAATATAATATATCATATGATTATCTTTAAACAATATTGTTATTGGAGAAAGATAATTATATAAGATTCAAACATGTAAAAACAATAAAAATCAATTAGCAAAAAAATATATACAGTTAATATAACCATGATAAGATGATATATAAACTTTCATAATCAGAACTATTTTTCTCCAAAAATTAATAATTCAAATTAAATTAAAAATATGAATGCACTAATAATATAGAAATAATCTGACTGAATGGTAATGTTTTGTAGAGAGTATATATGAAAATTTTGAAAGTTACAAGGTAGGATCAATAAAGATAAAATGTTTATATTAAGGAATAAATGGATTTAAACAAAAGAAATGACTGGAATAAGAAATTTGACAAAAATTTGTTTTTATAAATATCAATGAATTTAATACTCAAAATTTATAATAAATATCCATAATCTAGTATACCCAATTATTTATACTTGTTATTGTTAATAGCCAGGGGGTATGGTGTGATTGTAGAAAAATAAGTTGCAAGATGCAACTGTCTACAATTGTTTTATTTATTTTTATGTAAACCCATACAAATCACACAGCATAATAGTTATTTAATTAAATTTAATAAAGACAAACACAAGATATACATAAAAAGCTTCTATTCAAATGAAATTATATTTATGGAATAATGTAAGAACTTATAAATTCTGCACCATTAAATGGCTATTTTATTTAACAAATTTAAAAATTTTAAACACTACTGTTAATTTAGATACTGGCACATTCACTATTTATTTAACAATAAAATAAAGCATATTAATTTAAATAAAAACAATAATAATAATAATAATAATTATTACCAGTTCCAGTTTGTTGTGGAATTGCACTGATATCAGTAACAGTGACTGTTAAAGTGATAATAGCTGCTATATTCCTGTCTAATCTTCGGTTAACACGAATGTCTCCAGTATTTGAATTTAGGTCAAAAAATGACTAAAAATAATTTATAAATATAATTTATTTAATAGAATAAAAAAGAATGCTTATTTTGATAAATATATTTTTCATTACCTTATAGATTTTTATAGATTGATTAATTTGCCTTCCATCCTTATCAATTGCAGTTATTGGTTCTGTTATTTGAAATTTTAAAGATTCTGGAGTATTTACATCAGGATCTTTAGCTTTTAATTTGTAGAACACATATCCTGGTTCAGCTCCTAGAAAATTAATATAAAATATGAAAAATTAAGATAAATCTTTGAAAGAGAAATATAAAATGTAAATTTGTATATATTAAAATATATTTGAATTGAAATATATGTTAAGATTATTGAAACTGAATAAATAATAAAAAATATATTTTACAAAGATTTACTTTACAAATAAATATTATAAAGATATTATGCAAATAACCATAATAAAGAAAATTTAATATGAAGCTAAAATTAGCAATATTTGCCAGATATAATCAGTCACTTTTATAACCACTTAACATTGTTTTTTTTTTTTTTTGGACAAATAAACTGAAATGTTATGTCCTTTGAATCTTCTTGAACTTGGGTGAGCATTGGATTCGAGGACATAACATTTTAGTTTATTCATCCAAAAAACCTCTTTTAAGTGGTTATAAAAATGAAAGAAAATTTAAAACAATAACATGTATTACAAAATGATTTCTTTCTGCTATCATTTATCATTTAACTTCAATGTGAGACAAATCATTTATATTAAAATGTAACTACAATAACACATTTTTATTCTTAAAATTATTCTATATTTGTATGTATATAGCTGTATAATAAATGATATAAAAAATGTTGTTCTTACGTATGATTAAATTCACTAAGATACAAAAAGAGGCTTAAAAGTGATACCATATAAATCTTTTTTATTCATAATTTTAAATCCAAAATAGCTGTGCATATCTGTTTTATCCAAGTTTTCAGTTATCTGAGATAGTATTGGTCTATATTACATTGAATAACTAGGATTTTACTGTACTGTACATATAACTGAAAAATTTATTAAAAATATGTTAAAGTTATAATTAAATACAAACCTTCTGAAACTTGGGTTCTTTGTGTACTTGGAGTAAAATAAGGAGCTTTATCGTTATTATTTAGAATGTGAACATTTAAAGTAGTAGTGCCTGTTCTTACTGGAATTCCACCATCTATTGCTATAATCTGAAAACAAAAAAATAAATATCATACAGTTATATCACAATCCTTTCAATTATTGAATACCATATACAATTTAAATGATTCAAAACTAAACAAAAACACATCACAAGCTTCTAAAGGATGTAGTGTGTTTTTGTGTTCAATAATTGAACAGCATCATTTTTATATGTAGTTGGTGAGGTTTACAGGTTCAAACTTTTTTTTAAGGCAACATTTTCCAGACAGAAATTCTGCTTTATTAGAGCTCAATAAGTCAATTAAGTAAGGTACAAGGATAGTAGAAGAAAGAAAGGAAAGAGGATGGTTTAGTAGTTTTTGAGAAAGTGTAAATATACATAAAAAGTTTGAGGTAAAATAATTAATATAAAATATTGTGACATTACAAACTGTTTCAAAATGGTTTCTAAATGAGGAGTATAATTAATTAGAAGTTAGCATCTCATATCCTTTTGTGATTGTATGGCAGACTATAAAATCCACAGTATATTGATTGTTACACAACATAATTTGTTAAACATATTGCTGATACACATAATACTTTTTAACTGCCATTTAATTTTTAATTCTATTTGATAAACTTTTGGTAAATTTCCTTTGTTTTTGCATATTTTCGCAACTTATCAATTTTGTATATTTATTTCTAACATTTTAGTGGAATTTTGTATACTAATTATAAAAGCAAAGCAATATTATCATGAAGTTCATTTCAGACATTTTATTTATTTCTCTAACAATACTTTTATATATGATTTTTTAAAGTTTTTAAACTTTTGAATAAAGAATTGAATTAAAATGTTTTATTCAGCACCTTAACAATATGTATAAAGCATTCCATGCATTTCAGGAAAAGCTAATATTTATAAATTACTTTTTATTAATTTATTAAACATTTGAATTGCTGAGTTTGTTAATTCAATCACAATCTAAACCAGTGTTTCTCAACGGGGTGATATCGCCCCCATGTGGGTGTTTTTCCATGTTAAGGGGTGATTAGTAACAATTTATATTTTGGGGGGCAAAAAACAATTTTCTGGGCAATATAGTAAAACATTATATTAAGAATAATTAGATATTTTATTCGTTATATCATACAATAATTAAACAAATAACATTATACTAGTCAATAGTCTATTCAATGCAGTACAAATTTGGAGTTAGCCTTGGCCCTCCGCTCGGAATTTTGAAGTAAAGGGGGCGATACTACGTAACGGTTTTATTAAAGGGGGCGATACTACAATTAAGGGGGCGACGATTCATTAGAGGTTGAGAAACACTGATCTAAACAGATATTGAAAAGCAAACAAAAAGAAAGGAATTGAAATGTTTTTGATTTGTTGTCTAAACTTAGTATTGATTAATATGTTAACTTATTTAGTAAAGCAGGTAAATGTATAGTTTTAGATTACAAAATAATGTTAACTTATGGAAATTTAACATTTTTCTTTATATAAGATAACTTTTTAAACTTATTGTTTTCTCTTGCTATAAAAATTTAAAAAGTCAATTGTTGGATTGACAGGTTTTGAATTAAATGTGCTTTATATAATTTTTAAAAATTCTAAATTCATAACTTTTTCTTCTAGATCTTTAATAAAGTTCATAAAATACTACTGATTTGACACTTGTTATTTTAATTTTAAAAATATTTTTGGGATTGACATATTCATTTAATAGGCTAAATACAACAAATAATATAAAATAATTCATTTCTAAATGCAAAACTATGGAATTAAATAACTTTCTTTAACAATTTCATAGTTAATACATTCTACATTTTTAGAAACAAGAAATTATTAAATTGCTTTCATCTTTTATACTTAGTATTTAATGAGATTTTAACATTAAATACTATTTTCTAAATCTTTCAAATTACTGTATCTAAATGCAAATATGAAAAATTACATCTTGTAATCTAGTACAAAAAGTTTAATATAAGTGAATCATTTTTGGACTATTGTATAGTCTTCATCAGATTTAATAAAAAAGAATTTAAATATAAATATGTTTAACTGCATAATATTATTTCATAGATTAAATATTACAAAGAACAAAGTATCTATACCAACGGTTCCCAACCTTTTTCGGGTGGCGACCCCTTTTTATAAAAGCCAAGTGACCCGCGACCCCAATACTATTGAAAAAGACATTTTTAATAAGGTAATTAAAAAAAAAAAA